GGGGGGCAGGGCTGGGCGGGGGCGGGGGACTGGAGGCACCACCGTCCTCTGCCACTCCGCAGTCTGCTCTGTGAGCAAGACCTTCTTCGAAATCGAAGAGAACACGAACTTCACCGAGCCCCTGGTTGACATCCTCGTCCCGGGTGACCAGCAGGTGACCCTCGGATCCTCGTCCACCCTCTTCGCATTTCGGATCCTGGAGAACCAGCTGTTTCTCAACGTGACTCCTGATTATGAGGTGGGACTGCAGGCGGGTGGGTGTGCCCCCTCGGGACCACGCGGGCACCCACACCCCTTCCCTGGAGAAGGGCCCCCTGGGGATCTTTGGGTCACACTTCTCCTGGGAGGGCCTGAGAGCTGTGCCTCCCGGGCAGCGACGGACCCCTCTCGGGCCCCAACAGGCGGGGCCGTTGGGAATGAAGCAGCCAGGGCCCTGAGGCCTGAGCACCGAGGAGATGACGGGGACCCTGGGCTGGCACCTGCCCCCTCGATCTCAGTCTCCCCACTCGTGAGATGGGGACAGCGGCTGCGGCTGCTGGGCAGGTGACTCCCGAGGCCCATCTGCCTCCACAGGAGAACCCGCTGCTGCAGGCTCACCTGGAGTGCAAGAGGAGGGGCGTGCTGGTGAGTCCCGCCCCCGCTCTGCCCAGCCAGGGCCGTGCCTTGGTGACCTCATCCAGGTGCTGTCAAACGTCACACTGCCTCCAGCCAGACTCCGTCCTGAGCTGCCGACTCAGGAGCCTGCCGTGCATGTCCTGTCCCTGACAGCTGTCGGGCAGACACCCCACCCAGCGGCTCCGAGACCCCCACCCCTTCCCCTGCGCCCCCGGCAAGGGAGGCACCTTGGGTGTTGCCCTCCCTGCCTGGGCCGGACCCAGAACCCCCACTTCTCCCACCTCCAACCCCCACCAGGCTCTGGGCACCCGCACTCCTTTCTGGGAACTTTCCACCGGTGCACTTGCTACCTTTGCCCCGTCCGCTCCGCCGACCGCTCTCCGCAGGCAAAGCCGTCCCCCTGGGGCCTCCCGAGCCCCGCCCCGCCCCGAATCTCCCTCTTCCCTCACCTCCCACGGAGTCAAGGCTGAACTGGTGCCCCTGGCCCGTGTGGGCGTTCCGCTCACCTGCTCACGTCTGTGCTCACGCGTGGCCTCTTTGGGGGACCCCCAACCACGCCGTGCTGCGCTGCACCCCCCACGCAGCCCTCCCGCCCGCCCGCTTCACTTGCCCGCCTTTCACTGGGGATGCTGCGGAGGGGAGCGGCCCCCCCCACGCACGCCTCACGGCGCCGTACCCGCAGACACTCAGGGAGTGTCTCTAACAGAGAAGGGCACTTCTAAACATAACACCATGGCACCCCTGGGAAGGGCAGCAGCCCCTCACCGCTGAATGTCAGGAAGCGGCAGCATCTTCTCCTTGTCTCAGAGGGTCTTTTTTGCAAATTTTTGTCTGAATCAAGATCCAAGCAAGGTCCAAATAATGCAACTGGTCGATATTTCTCTTAAGTTTCTTTCTTTTTCTTTTTTTTTTTGGTTTTGGAACGTGGTCTCGCTCCGTGGCCAGGCTGAAGTGCAGAGGCATGATCACAGCTCACTGCAACCTTGAATTCCCGGGCTCAGGCGATCCTCCTGCCTCAGCCTCCCGAGTAGCTGGGACCACAGGCGTGTCACCACAGCCGGCTAATTTTTAAAATTTTTTTGTAGAGACAGGGTCTTGCTATGGTGCCCAGGCTGGTCTCAAACTCCTGTGCACAAGCAATCCTCCCGCCTCAGCCTCCCAAAGCACTGGGGTCATAGGCGTGAGCCACCGCTGTGGCTTTTTAAGTTTCTTTTAATCTGTAGGTTTTCCTCTCTGTTCTTTTTTCTTGGAGACTTATTTTTGAAGAAACTCAATTGTTTTGCAGTTTTTCTCACTTGAGATTTTGCTGGTTCTCCAGAGCACTTTATAAATGACTTCTCGTCCCGGCCACCACGTCCGGCACCTAGAGCTGTGCAGCTGCACTGCAGGCCCTCCCCGCCATCTGCTGACTAGCTGGGGAGGGGTCGGCAGGGAAAGGCTGATGACGCCCTCCCCAGGTGACCCAGCTGAGGGTGTTTGTGGCGGTGCTGGACCTCAATGACAACGCCCCCGTGTTTCCCTTCGCAACCAAGGAGACGGCCGTGGAGGAGGTGGGCGTGGGGCCTGCGGAGGGCTGGCGGCGGGGGGCTGGGCCTCCAGGAAGGTCCGCAGGGCTATGCGCGTGGCTGGACCAAGCCCCTCTTCACCCGCAGGACACCAAAGTGAACTCTACCGTCATCCCTGAGACAGCACTGGAGGCCGAGGACGCCGACGAAGATGACATCTTGTTCTACACCCTCCAGGAAGTGACCGTGGTCGGTGCTGCCCCACCCGTCCCAGAGCGGCCTCTGGCTCCGCAGCTGCTCCCCTCCTCGAGAGGTCTCAGGATGTGCCCTCCCCCACCCTCCCCAGGGCGCCCGTGACCTCTTCTCCCTGCTGGGTGCCAACCGCCCCGTGCTGAGACTGGACCGGCCCCTGGACGTCTACAAGTGGCCAAACATGACCTTCCGGCTGCTGGTGCGGGTGAGCAGCTCACTCTGCCCCGAGTCCTGGGCACTCGAGGTCCCCCCAAGCTGTTCCAAGGCCTGAGCCAGCAGGGCGGGCTGTTGCAGGACACGGCGGAGGAGAACGCAGAGCCCAGCCACACGGCCAC